CCAGATCCTCTTTTGTTGCCAGTTTAGAGAGTCCAGGTGGTTGAGTATCAGATTGTTCCATCTTGTTTCCCATTGGGGTTGCTGTAGGTGATCCATAAGTCTGTTTTTGAGACTTGTTTATGTGTCTTCTCATTTCCACAGGAGGGGGTGCTTCTGGTGCCCATGTGGCTCACCTTCACTGCCCTAGGAGCTGGGGATGGCAGCGGGGGAGCTTCCTTCCAGGTTCTGGGACTGGCTCAGCTTCTCTGCCCTAGGAGCTTGGGATGGTAGTGAGGGAGCTTCCTTCCAGGTGCTGAGACCGGCTCACCTTCTCTGCCATAGGAGCCTGGGATGGCAGCAGGGGAGCATCCTTCCGGGTGCTCCATATCTTGATTCTTTTTATGGCCCTTTACCTCCCCACCTCCCTCTGTTTCTAGATCCCCTTTCCCAATTATTATTATTATTATTATTTAATTCATGTTTGGGACATATAATGATTATATTCATTGTGGGTAGTTGGTACATGTACATGTTGCATCTCAAATCTTTTTATACCCCCTTCCCCTTCCCCCTCAGTTTATTGGTCCTCTTCCCATTTGTTAAAGAGCTATCTCCCTATTTTCTTTTATCAGTATTTTATTTTGCTCTTTACTTTATTTGTACTTTGGATTTCTCATATGAGAGAAGCCATACAGTATTTAAACCTGTGTTTTATTTATTTTACTTAACATTATATTCTCAAAGTGTATACATTTTCCTACAAAAGTCTTGAATTTATCCTTCTTTATAGCCAAGTAGCATTCCATTCTATAGATATACCACATTTGTTTTATCCATTTGAGGATGGATATACAGGATTCTTCTAAGATTTAGCCATTACGAATTGTGCTGCTATAAACCTTGGTAGGCATGTATTGCAATACTATGATGTCTTTAACTCTTTTGGGAAGATACCTAGAAGGAGAATACCTCTGTTGAATGGAAGTTTTATTTTTAGTTTTTTGAGAAATCTCCAGCAAGACAGACTGGAAATGGGCCTGTTGCAGAAGTCTGGGCAAGAGATAGGGACACAGACTGAGTTTGCATTGGAGTCAATAGGGCACAGAGTCTGGGACAGCGAATCCCTGGCTCAGAGCCCTCCTGAAATTTTTAGAAGGCAATCCCTGCAACTTTGAGGGTGGTCTGCAGCTGGGGATGCTTTGGGCAGTAGGAGTACAGTGGGAGTAAAGACCAGAGAAGGACGTGAAAAAGAAACTTGAACAGGTCCCTGCTCTGGGAAGAGCAGGGAGGACAATCTTCTTCTAATGGGCACCATGTAAGATACTGGTTACCATGGGATGTAGCTCATGTCTTGGGATAAGCCTGGATACTTTGGTGCCACTTTTTTGTCTCCATTTGTAAAGGCCTGACTTGCCTCCTGCCCTGCTAAAGACAGCACGGATGCGAGAGCATTTGGCTAAGCGAGAGCAACTAGGTAAGAAACATGGCCAGAGCTGGGTTTTGCATGATCTTCTGAGGATATGGGCCAGTACCTACTAGGTGGGGGACTGAGACTAGAGAAGTTCTTTCTGTGTCTTTCTCAGTGTAATCCCCCAAACAGCTGTGTTAGTCAGCTTTCTGTCACTGTATCCAAATACCTCAGAAAAGCAATTTAAAGGAAGATTTGTTTTGGTTTATGACTTTAGTCCATGATCAGCTGGCTTCAAAGCAGAAGCATCATGGTGAAAGTGCAGGTGGAAGAAAGTTGCTTACCTCATGGCAGTTAGGAAGCAGAGACAGAGCAAAAGAGCCAGAGAGAGAGGAAAAGGGCTAGGCATGAGAATATATACTTCCAGTAGGCCCTCAGTGATCTTCTTCCTACAACCAGGCCCCACCTCCTAACAGCGCACTTAGTGATAAACTTACCAATGGGTTAATCTATTGATGAGGTTGGCTCTCCTATGATCTCATTACTTTCAAAATTCCCACCTGTAGGGCCGGGGATTTAGCACAGTGGTTCTGCCACCTGCCTCCCAAGCGCAAGGTCCCGAGGTTGATCCCTGGTACCAAAAAGAAAAAAAAAAAGAATCAAAATTCCCACCTCTAAACACATGAGTCCTTTGGGGTCATTTTTCATCCAACTATAGCATTCTGCCCCAGATCCCAAAAGCTCATATCGCATTATGCAAAGTGCATTCAATTCATCTCTAAGAGTTGCTCAGACCTCAACAATTCCAGCATTGCTCAAAAGTCCAAATCCAAAGTCACCTGTGAGACTCAAGGTAAACTCTCGTAAGCATTTGTGAAAAGCAAATTACATTTTCAAAATACAATGGCACATTGGAATGGGTAAACACTCCCATTCCTAAAGGAAGGAATGAGACTAGAAAGAAATATGACCATGTAAGAGGGCTCTATTGCAGCTTTGGCCTCACTCTCACATCGTCAGAGTTGTCCTCTTAGGGGGTCCTTTAGAGACTGTAACAACATTACCTGGCCTCCTAGGCCTTCTTTTGAAAACTGGGTAGAAGCATCTGTGATCTCATACCTCTTCCATTCTACATGCCTACAAAACTGGCATATGCAGGCAGTGCCAAAGTCTGCCACCAGCTTCAGCAGTAGCTAGGTCCCCTTGGACCATGGCTGCAGTAGTTTCAGAGTTCCTGGATGGCTGAATTTGGGGAAACACTTTCCGACTGGCCTCCAGTGCCAAGAATGCCCTGGGGCTCTTTTCTCAAAGTGAAATCCTTCAAAAAGAATATATAATTTTCCACCCTTAAGCCCATGATAGATTGGGCCTGGCTAATTCCTGAGATGCCCTCGATGCATCTTTCCTATTGTCCTAGTGCAAAATACATGGTATCTTTTTAATGGCACTAATCTCTTAAGCAACCACTCCTTCTTTGGCCCCAATTTTACATATACATCTTTTCTGGCCAAACAACAAGTTTTTCAGATCTTTTGACTCTGATTTTTGCTTCTGATTCTCACTGTGAGTCTGGCTACAAACATCAAACGATAGCCATGCCATGCCCTGAATGTTGGTCTGTCTTGAAACTTCTTCTACCAGATAAACTAGTCTATCACCTTTTAAGTCCAGTGTCCCACAAAATATCATGACATGGAAAAAGTGTAGGTAAATTCTTTGCCAGAATGTAGCATGCATGGCCTTTAATCCACTGATGAGATTAGTGCCCCTATGGTCTAATCACCTTTCAAAAGATCCACCTCTGTGTTAGTTACTTTTCTTGTTGCTGAGACAAAATACCTGACATCCAAGGTTAAAGGGTAGAGAGTTTATTTAGCTCACAGTTCATAGAGATTTTAATCCATAATCAGCTGGCTCCAAGGCAGTATAGATAGCAAACAGGCACTGCAGAGGAGAAACAACATGGTGCACACAAGGTAGCAAAGCAAGACCTTAACAGCGTCTTTCTGCCCCTTTTTTCTTATTCAGACTATAGGTGGTGCTAAACCAATCACTCACATGTAGTGGTTTAGTAATCACATGGTCTTAATTCTAGCATCACACACTCTAGATTCACCCACCTATGACCACGTGAGGCTTGGAGGGGACATCTAGATTCAAACCATAACAACCTCTGAACACATGAACATTTGATGGGACATTTTTGACCCAAACCATAATAAGGGCCATGGCTCTCCATGTAACAATCTACTTCTCTTGAATGAAGCCATTTTCCTGCTAGGACATAGTTTCATGTATAGGACCTGGATTTGATTTGGGCTGGGTGGGGCATCATAAGGGAGGGCTCCCACTGGGGCCTCATCTGTCAGGAGGTAAGACATGTTGGGGCACTGAGCAGCTGACCCTTGAATTGTCATCCTGACCAAGGAGAACGAGGGTGTAGGGTGGCTTACATGGGACAGTACTTTGCTTATACTTGAGGGTTTGGACCTCACTTTCAACTCCAGGGGCCTAAATCACCATTCTTGATTCTTCCTCAGATTTTATGGAAAACATGTTATCTCATGGGAAAGGAGCTGCTTTCTTTTCCCATATTTCGCAGGGCATGCTGAGGGCCTACCAGAAGCTGAGCATTGAAATCACAGGTTGTGCCAACATGTGGGGCGAGTACTGGGACAGCCTCATTTGTATGGTAAGGGCACACAGGTGGCCATGCCTATTTGTACTTCCTCTTTTTCAACACCCAATTCTCAGCCCTACAAAGCTCACCAAGTTGCAAAGCGATGCCCAGCTTGGGATGGGGATTCATAGCTGCTGCAGCCTCTGGGATTGAGGCTGACATGGTTTAGGTAGAATAGATCACTATGAACAGTACAGTTTTCTGTATCTTTTCCCATGAGATTCAATGCCGGGACCCCAGCAAGGACACAGGAATCAGGAGGCTGCCTGACTAGGTCAGGACCTGAGGCTTGGAAAGGAGAGTAAAATGTAGAAGGATAATAACAGCCTCTCCATGTCATACCTTTGCTTACCCTTCTGTGCATTCAATTATTTGCCCAGTGGTCCATGCATTTATTCCATTACTCAGCAAACATTGGTCCCTTAACTGTGTTTGGCTTCCCGTGCAGGTACTGAGGGGGATAGAAGGATGAATAAGATAGAAGATGGTGTCAGCAAGGAGCTCTGAGTTTGCTATGGAGAGATGAAATGTGCATATATTAGCCTACACTGTCTAGTTGTTGCATGGAAGATTTTCATGAACTGTTTGGTTACTTGTAGTAGATATTTGCTTTAAATTGTATTATGTGTTATAAGTGTTTGTTTATGTAACAGTTACTGTATTTAAATAACAGTAAGGAGAAAATAAGACATTCCAGTGGACAAAGGATTTGAATAGCCAATTCAGAAAAAGATAAATTCAGATGGTCAAAAAATATGAAAATATGTCATCATCACTAGTAATTAAAGAAATGCTAAGTAAAGTAACCATGAAATACTGGTTTTGTCCAGTTAGCAAGGTTTAAAATTTGTTGGTGAGGGTGTAGGGGGAAAAGTGCTCTGAGCCCCGTGGATAAAGAGGTGCTAAGCACCCACCAGACCTTGGAAGCCCTTTGGGAGTGGGCGAGGTACTCATTTCAAGTGTTCCCAAAGAGAAATAGCTTAGTGTATAAATGACTTCATACTAGGTTGCCTTTTCTTTTTAGAATTGCTTACAACGGGGTTGGGGATAGCTTAATGAATCGTGTCCATCAGTGGAAGAGTGGATCACACCACTGGAATTCTTTTTTTTTTTTCCCACCGGGGATTGAACTCTGGACCTTGCGCTTTTGAGGCAGGCAGTGGAACTACTGAGCTAAATCCCCGGCTCCACAGTGGAATTCTGTAAAGCATCCCGTGACATTGTAAGCCATTCTAAGTAAAATTATCTAAATTACTAGAAGAGAAGGCTATTAAAGAAAAGGATGTCTGGTCTGCTTCCTATTTATACCCATGTCTTACGAACACGAAGGGTAGACAGGTGCACACAAAAATGGAAACAAGGCTGGAATTATAAGTAATTATCTGCTTCTTAATTTTTTTCTAAAAATAACCAGTTATTACTTTTAATTACTAGAGAAAATTATAAAATTATTTCCATTTAAAAGATACAGACATTTGATCCAAGAGGTTATGAAGGGCCAGAGACCTTCAGACTGGGAGATCTGTGTGGGCGGCATGTTGGGAGGGAGAGCAGGGATGGCTGAGGACAGGGCAGCCAGGCTGGGGGGGTGAGGTGACCTGGGCTGGGGGTGTCTGGAGAGGGAATCTGACAGTGAAGAGTGGGGCTGGGCCCAGCTGGGGGCAAGTGTGTGGGCTGGTTGGGCAAGCGGAGGCCTTGCCTGGAGGAAACGCAGTGGTCGCTGGTGAAGGTGACAGAGGGCTGGTGTGTTTACAGGTGGGAAACCTGCCACCAACAGTCATCCCAGTGCACATGGCAGCAGTGGGCTGCCCTATCAGCTCCCTGAGGACCACCTACTACACTGCTGACTGCTTTCAGAAGGAGCCCATCATCAGGTACCCACCCTCTGCCTCATCCTCTACTCTCTGATGGCCCCTGAACCTCTCTGGCCTCTGGTCTGGGCTGTGCATGCCACCTTGTTGCTCTCTAGCTGGCTCAGGGCCACCTGGTGCTGCCTGCAAGAAGGTCCTGGGACATGACTGCCATCTGAGTATCTCTGAGGGCTTGGGTTGTGGTGCAGAGTAGTGAGTAGTCAGTATGGCCTGAGGTTTATACCAGACCCGAAGGCTGCTCACACAGATGAACTGGAAACAGTCTGGCTCAGTTTGGGAAATGGGATGGATTGCTGTGGCAGTGAGAAGTCCCAGGCTCCAGTCTATCAGATACCACATGGGGAGGTTCTCTAGCCATGGGGCTCTGTGTTGCCAGGGCGAGCATAGATCATTGTGCCGCCTCCTCAAGCCTGAGCCCCCACCCAGTGCTCTTTTCTGAAGTGCCTCTGCCTGTAGATGTGTGCTGAATCTGGTCTCCTGCCTCAGGTTGGGGACTCATATCTCTGGAGGAAGCACAATCAGCCGGACTCTTCGCCTGTATAACTCCAGCCCCTGCGGTGAGATGCTCACAAGATGAAGTGGGGTGATGAACCTAGTGGTGGGGGAAGATGGTGCTAGGGGGAGCTGATGGCTGGAGTAGTACTAGGAGTCCAGGTGGCCTGTGGCTACTAAGGGGGTTCCCTGAGGGTCAAGGTCAGGAGGTGAACATACCATTCCAGGGTTGTCAGAGAAAATCCTTGAGGACAGGACACACCCTTGCCCAGCCATAGGTCTCCCAGCATCCATGGGACCACAGAGTTTTGCTGTCATCAAGGTCACTGTGCCTAGGGACAGTATTTCCAGGGGACTCCTTTACATAGTACTTTAGCCAACTGGACCTGGGCAGATACTGAGTGTGCTTTGCAGGGGCTGGGGATACACAGGGAGCAGGACAGTGGTCTCTGCCTAGGGCTTCTGTCCTGACTGTGGTGTGTTGAGGGCATTGAATTTGATTGTGTGGCAAGCCAGTGTGGTGGGGATGCAACAAGGGGCTGCACTTCCCTGAGAAGGTGCACAGAGGCAGAATCTGGGAGGAAAGGGAATCCAGAATGACCTGGAGGAGCGACTCTGGAGCCACAGGAAGAGTACAGACAGCTCAGAGACTTCAGGGAGGTGGCACAATCAGCCTGGCCACCACAGAGTTCCCCGGGGAGCATTTAAGGCATTTTGAGGCTGGGACTCCGTGTTGAGAGCTAACTCAGTGTTGAGGAGCAGGGCCTGGCGTTGTCATTTTTAAGTTCCTTGGATGAGTCTAAGGAAGGTGCAGCCATGGCAAATAACCACTACTCTATGACGCCTCATTATTGGCTACTAGATCTGTGCAGTTTTGAAAGTGTGTTGCAGTCTACTGTCAAATTATATTTTTAAAAATCAGTTTCCCCTTGCATTTCTAGTAGTTTCACTTTCTGCTTTTAGCTAGTCTATTATTAGAGATGCATTTGAACATTGTATCTTTTTCTCACAAATTGAGTCTTCTGTCATCCCACGTCATTCCTTTTTGGCCCCTTTAGTGCTGCTGGCCTTGAATCCACACTGTCTTATGTTAACATTGCTACATTTGGTATTTTATGGGTGTTCACCTGGTATCTTCTTGCCCATCCTTCTATTTTCACCCTTTATGATGACTTTGATGTGTGTTTTGGATTAATAACAGACAGCTCAGTTTTTGAAAAATACAACTTGACATTCTCTATATTTTCAAGGGAAAAGTTAGCCAATCCATATATTTCTTCCATTTAAAAAAATATACTTTACTTCATTGTTTATTTTGGTACTTTATTCTTTTTTTGTGACTTTACAAGTTTTCCCTCTGTTTATTTTGGACTTTCCCTTGCATCCCTTCTCTTTAGTAGCTCCCTCCTGTTCCTTGTGCTCATAGCCACATGCACCTTTCTTTCTCTTTATTGAAAGTGAGATTGTCCACTGGACTTCAGGGTCATTGGAGACCTTAGTAAGAGATGGGCACTAGATACAACACAAAGATTGTGAGCCTTGGGTGTTGTGCCCACCAGGTATTGCCCAGGGCAAAGCCCAGCCCCTGGCATTGTAAGATCCAATCAATGGAATGTTGACTGGGGAGTGGGTGACAGATGAGGACACGGGGGAGGTGATTTTGACTAACTGGTCCTGAGAGCTTGCCGGGAAGGGGAGAGGGGCACTGAGGAGGTGGGCTGGCAGAAGGAAGCTTATTCATGATGGGGAAGGTCTCAACTTGCTTGGTCCTGTTGGGAAGCATCTAGACAGGATTCAAGCTACTGCTCAAGGAAAGAGGGGATACTGGACATTGTAGGACCTAGAGAAGAAGGGTGTGAGCCATGCTGAAGGCAGGAGAGGCAGACAGGGTAGCTGCAGACAGATGTGTAAGTTTGGGACAGGACTTCAGGACACTTCTAGGAGATGGGGTGGGGCCACCACTGGGCATCAGGGAGGCAATGGAGGCATCAGAGGAGAGCAAGAATAGCTTGGCATTGTCACGGTGGAGAGGGAGGGCAATGTGAGGGCCCAGTTTAGGTTGGGGACAGATGTATGGGGTGGCCATCTGTTCAGCTTGGAGGACTTCCTCCAGTGGTGGCCAGAAGAATGGTGCAGTTCTGTTCCTCCAGGGTTAGGCTTTGCCAGGTGGGTGGAAGGATGGGGGTTAAAGGGAGATATAGGAGGTTGCTAGCAAGGCCGAGGTTGGACCTTTAGTGAGTATCTTGGCTGGGAAAGAAAATAAAAGAAGATAGGGGCTGGTAGATGGAGGGGGAGAAGGTAGAGAGTGTGGAATTGGGGAGGGGCCAGCTGTCAGCAAACCAGCCAGAGAGAAAGGAAGCTGTGAAAAGGGTGGAATGCCTGGGTTCAAGCATGTGGACATGACGACCTGGTCTTGTGATCATGAGGGCATCAGATGATTAAGCCAGGTGGCACAGGCCTATAACGACCTTTTTGTAAAACATGAGCATTGCCTGGGGATGGCATTAGAGAGTGAATCCCCTCCTTCCATGCTGAGTAGGGGAAAACAGGTTGGTAGAGGCTGGGGCAGACCCTCCATGCCTCCCTGTTCCTCCTCCATGTCTGCCCTAGACATCCGACTGGACTGGGAGACATACATGCCAGAAGACAGGGAAGGCAAGCTGGTGGAGCTGCTGGTGTTTTATGGGCCACCTTTCCCGCTGAGGGACCAAGCTGGGAATGAACTCATGTGCCCTGAGATGCCCAAGAGCAGCAGCTTTTTTGGGCCCCTGTCCCCCTCCAATGTGTCAGAGTCCAGCCATGCAGCTGCCCCATTGGTGAGCAGGGGTGCAGGGGTGGACAAGCTGGCCACCGGGGCCACTGACTTGGGCCCTCAGTCACTCCTTGGCAACAGGTTGAGGGCCACTCCAGTGCCAGCAACAGGGCCACAGAGCACATCATCTCAGTCATCCTGCGGGAGCATGAGGGGGTGCCTGCTGACCACCTGTTCAGTATCAGCCCCAAGCAGATGGTGAGTCCGGCAGGGCTGGGAATGGCCTCATGGAGTCTGCACTGGCCCACCAGCGGGCACAGGGCAGTGCTGAGGCTGCTGTGTCTGTGACAGGTGGTCCCTGCTGGGGGCAATAGCACCATCTACATCTCCTTCACACCCATTGTGCTTGGCCCTGAGACTCTACACAAGGTGGCATGTACTGGCTACGCCCTGGGCTTCATGAGCTTGGATGACGAGGTGAACCCTGCTGTCCTGGGGTGGGTATGGCCACTGCTTCTCTCTGGGTGGCTCACTGCCCACTCAGCCCAAGGACCACCAGCGATCCATAATGTATTGGCTTTGGTAGGAGGAAAGAGATATTCCAGGGAGGAGCCATCGGCGGCAGGATTTTGCTGTGGGACCCCTGCGACTGGACCTGCATAGTTATGTGAGGCATGCAAAGTGAGTTGGCTGGGCTCTCCCTCTATCCCCTAGAGGGGTCAGGTAGAGTTCTCAGAGTCTAAGGACAGGAACAAGAAGGAGAGGACGCAGCAGGGGAGCCCAGGGAAAGGCTGGCCAGAGGCCAGGTGAGGGGAGAAGGGGTGGCCAGGAGGCCGTGGATGCCTGGTGGGCCTAGTGGTATCTGTCACTGGGCAGGCTGAATGTGGAGCTGGACGACAGCAGCAGCATGGAGTTCCGGTGCCGGGCCAGTGACCTCATCCCTGACCAGCCCTGCTCTGGGGTGAGTGTGCTGGCACTCCTGGCTCTGCCAGTTTCCCTGGACCTCACGTGTGCCCATAGGCCCTCAGGGGCACAGGCCTTGCAGTCCGAGTACCCTCTTCAGGAGAGGGGTAGATGGATCCCTACATCCTTATCTCTGTGACTGCCCAGGTGCTAAGTGAATTGCTGACCACCCGACGCCTGAAGCTGATCAACAGCACAGAAATCCCACAGTACTTCCGGCTCCTGGTCTCCAGGCCCTTCTTGGTTTCTCAAGATGCATTTAGCTGGGGCCACAGACCTGGCTCTGGCCAGGAGCAGGAGGGAGAAGAGGAGACAGCCTCAGTGAGCAGGCAGCTGGTACTGGACTCACAGGAGAACATGCTGGTTAGTGGAGGGGTCCAGGCCCTCGCTGTGATGCACACACTCACACATGTGTACAGATGCACGGATGGACCTACTGTGGGTCCCTCCCCACCAAACCACCACCAGCACACACAGACCCTCTGTGCGGTGGGTGACTCACATGTACATGGGTAGACCAGACCTAGTGTGCACAGCCACATGTGTTGCAAGAGCACAGCCATACTCCTCTCTCTGTGCTCTACTGATGGCCAGACAGAGGCCACTGTGAGCCCCTGCACTTCCTGCCCAGACTCCCTCCCTTCTCATGTGCCCTCACTCAAGGGGTTGTGCTTTGACCAGAGCCATCCCTGGTTGGATTCCCATAAACGTGAGGCTCTCTGGATCCCAGGGTGATTCCCCCTCTTCTGACAAGCCATCAGTGACAACAGGAACTTGGATTTTCAGAGGTGGAGGGTGGAGTTCTGAGAATGTCAAGGTGCCAGTGGGAGCCGTGAACTTCTGGCACTGGAATGGGGATGATACTCAAAGTCCTTGCGGGGTTTGCTGTGTGTACATCCCTATCTGCACAGTGGCTCCCAGGGTGGGTACCAGCTTGCCAAGGACAGACTACCAGGCTGTGGGCCCGAGCCTCTCTCCTACCTCCCTCTGAGGCCCTTTCTTCCCTCCTTGGAAGGCTTCCCTTTCCTCTGAGGCTCCCTAGAGTTCCAGATGGGCTCTTGGCTCACTGCACATTCCTGGGTCATTTCATCCACTTCCAGAGCCTCAGTGAACAGACACATTCTTTCTTTCAAATGTGTCCTTCACTGTCTGTGTGGTGAGTGTCTGCCACTGATGTCCACTGATGTCATTGTGTCCAGCTGATGGAATTCTCCAAGGATATCCTTGTGGAGGGAGGGCAGACAGGCACAGATCTGCTGCAGACAGCAGGAGTGCCCCCTTGAACTCTCCTTTGGCTCCTTTCTTGAGAGAGGTAAAAGGAGGGGAAGATCCAGAGCACAACCAGCAGTGTCTTCCACCAGAGGTCCTCTAGGAGACCCTGGGGTTAGCAGCCAGGATGTTTAAAAATCTTGGGCTGGGCTTGTAGCTCAGTGGTAGAGCACTTGCCTAGCATGCGTGAAGCCCTGGGTCGATCTTCAGCACCTCACTCAAAAAATAAATATAAAAAAACCCTTGTGCAGCTCTGGGGAGGCCCAGAGGTTCCCAGAAAAAGCTCCTCATGTTATGGTGGTGCATCTCACCGTGTGGGTGCAGCAATGCCCAGCATTGGGCATCTGATGGGAATTTTCCCCTCAGTTCTTAATCCAAACTCAGACTTCAAAACTAAATTCTCCATCTCCCCTGAGCCCCTGTCCTGCCCCATATCTGTGCCTTCTCTTTGTAAGGGCATTTTATCATAGCAAATACCACCCCCACACACATCCCATTGCCCAAGCCAGAGCTCTGGCGCCCCCATCCTAGACAGCTCTCTTGCTGAGCAGCCACTGAGACGTATGGATGCTCCTCTGAGCTCTCTTTTTCTCTCAGTACTTCTCACTTCTTACCTCTAAACCCATATTTTGGTCTAGGACAATGGTCTCCAAGCCTGGCAATATATCACGGCCCTTTGGAAAAGTTGTTTCAAATACAAGCTCTCAGGCCCCAGTTCTAGAGATGAGAAGGTCTGGGCTGAGGCCTAGGAATCCAATTTTTTTTTTCAGTACTGGGATTGAACTCAGGACCTTGCACTTGTGAGGCAGGGGCAGTGCCACTGAGCTAAGTTCCCAGCCCCAAGGAATCCAGTTTTTAACAAATGCCTCAGTTGATTCTGAGCACCAAGGAACTGTCTTTGGAATCCAGGAGCCCCAACCCCATCCTGGTTGGTCTAAGTTCTGGTCTTGGCCTCCTGATTATTGTCTTTCACCCACTTGGGCTTCCACAGCCCACTTCCTCACTGGAAGACTAAGCTAACTCTGATGCCCCCTACTTCAAACACATCGTAGGCTTCACTCTCCTCAGGATAAGGACAAAGTCCTTTCTTGGCCTTAAAGGGCCCAACCTCAGCTTGATCATGCTAGGTGGAAAACGGCTGTTTGCTTATTGTCTCTTCTTCTCTAGCCTCTGACTCCTGAAGGCAGGCAGGACTTGTCCCTTGCAGGATGGGGTGCCCATACACACCGGGTGCAGGGGGCAGTGCTTATTCTCACCAGGCAAGGGTGGTGCTGGGCCAGTCTGGGCCCTGCAGGCTGTGCTGGGCAGGGCTGACTGGCAGGGAAGCAGAACACAGTGGCCTGAGATGATGCATGGCTGGCAATGTCTGCTTCTGGGCAGGTGAATGTGTCCTTCTCACTCTCCCTGGAGCTGCTCTCCTACCAGAAGCTCCCAGCTGACCAGATGCTACCTAGAGTGGACATTCAGCAGAGCTTGAGTGGAGAGAAGAAGATAGTGTTCACTCAGGATCTGCTCCTGGAGTTCACCAATCAGACCACTCAGGCAAGTGCCAGTCTGCCCCTAAGGACCTGAGTGGATCCTGCCGTGCTGAGGATGAGAGGAAGTTACCAAAGCAAGGAACCTGGCCCCTGCCTTCAGGGTGCAGTCTGCCTGGAAGAGGCCCTGTGCTTTGACAGAGAAGGGTCATCCACCCTCATCTGTTGTCTTAATTACTTTTCTCATTGCTGAGACAAAATACCAGATATCCAAAGTTTAAGAAGGAAAGGTATATTTGGTTCATAGTTTGTAGAGGCTCCAATTCATAGATGGCTGGGTCCAAGACAGAGTGGCATCACAGATGAGAAACAGTTCATGGCAGGCAGAAGGCAGAAGGCAGCAAGGCAGCAAGCACCAAGCTGCAAGAGACCTTCTTTCTTTCTGTCTTTTATATTTTATCCAGGCAGCCTGCCCTTAAGGCAGGTAACACTCACACCCTTAATCTTAGCATTGCACCATGAATCAATCCCAGCATCACACCCTTGATCTAAGCATCACACAGCCTAGATCCAGCTACCTCTGAAAATCCCTACCTATGACTGCGTGAGGCTTTGGGGGACATCTAGAAACAGGCCCCAGCACCTGCTGCAGAGAAAAATGAGGGGCTGGAGGGCAGGAAATCCAGGAAGCCTCCCTGAAGGAAGTGGCAGGTGAAGCCTGTGTATTGAATAATCGAGGGAGAAGGGAAACCACTTCAATAGGCCCAGGCTGAGGGAATGGCCTGGGGCTGGGGCTGGGTTCAGTGAACACCTGAGGCAGCTGTGAGCACCAGGTTGAGGTCTGCAGGCCACAAGGTCATGGTAAGTGTTATGCAGCCACGGGGGTGGGGGGGGGGCTGGAGCCCAGCTGGCACTACAGGTGAGGGTTGTAAAGGAATGGCCTGGGGGAGATTCTCAGAGGCAGAGCAAGGGAGGCAGGGCACTGAAGCCCTGAGTCTGGCAGTTCCTGGGGTGGGGGGAGGGTGGGGGGAAGGCTCTGCATCCCAGTGCCCAAGGGTGGTGCTGGGACTGCCAGAGCTAGAGTAGGGCATGGGATGGGGACCTGAGGGCCAGGGCCAGGGCAAGATTGCTCAGGGCCCAAGGAGCTGAGTGTTGGGTCTTGGACTCCATGGGAGGGAAGAGGGAAAAAGGATGCAGAAGGAGCAAGGCTGACCTACAGGAGAGCTGAGCACAGAGCTCCATAGAGGGGAGGGTCTCTTCTGGCCTATCAAGCTCTGGATTTTGTTGGCAGTGCTAGCCCCTTGCCACCTGCTGTTCTGGGATTCCCTCTGCTCAGATTACAGCCTTGGGTTCTTGGGTCCTTGGGGCCAGTAAGATTCCCTGTGTCTCAGCAGCCCCAGCTCAGAGCCTGACCACAGTGGACAGTGTCACTCTACCCCCTGACAAGTCAAAGGCCCTGTCTCCTAGGTGGTGCCCTTGCGGGCCATCGTGGCTGTGCCTGAGCTGCGGCTCTCCACCTGCTGGGTGGACTTCGGGACCTGCTTTGTGAACCAGCAGTGGGCCCGGGAGGTCAATCTGCTGAACCTGAGTGGCTGCCAGAGCTACTGGACTGTGCTGATGGGTATGTCATGCCCTCCTACCTACCTGCTCACTGCATCGTGGAGGCTGGGCCAAACCTTCCAGGAAGGGGCTTGTGTGTCCACTCCCAGCAGGTGGGCACCTAAGGGCTGGCACTACCTGTCATTCCTCCAAAGATGGCCAGGCTGCAATGCCATGTGGTACCTGGGTTGCCCTGCCCTGTGGTTCTGGCAAGACCAAAAGTCACACCTGAGAGGCAGAGCAGGCCTGGGGGGCACACAGTCTTCCAGGACAACACAAGGAGCCTGTGTCCTTTCCCCTTGATGCAGGACAGCAGGAGCCAGACAAGAAGGCAAAGGCCTTCGGGGTCTCCCCGAGCAGTGGGCTGCTGGAAGCCCGACCCACCAATGCTCCCGCAAGCTCCATCACCCTGAAGGTGTTCTTCACTCCCAGGTACAACCTCTCCCAGACTCCCTGGGACTGACCAAAGGCTGGGGGCCCCTGCCCAAGGCTGTCCTGACCTTATCCCTACCTGCTGCCACAGGAGCACTGAGCTGTACGAGTCCACATTGGTGGTAGAAGGCATGCTTGGTGAGAAGCCCTGCACCCTGAGGCTGCGGGGCCAAGGCTCTTATGATGAGAGATATGCAGCACCTCACTAGCCCTGAGGCTCTCCTCACCCCTCAGCCCCAGCCCCAGCTGAGGGAATAAACATGGCCCCAGGCTGAGGAGAGCTCTGCTGGGTCACGCCACAGACTGGGGTGTTGTGAACAGCTCTGAACAGAGGACAGAGCCCTCTTCCAGGGCAGAGGTCTCAGCCAAAGCCTGAATCATATGTCCCCAGAGTTAACACAAGGAGAGTCCTCACCACCAAGAAGACTATGGCAGGTAAGAATCACTACTCAGAGCACCGAGAAGACCAACAAAGCAAGATCTGGACCTTGGAGAAAAACACACCACCAAGATTAGGTCACAGACATTTATTCCATCGCATGCCTCATCCACAAAACCACCTCCTCCAGGAGTTATAAGATGATCATGGCCTGGGTAACCCATGCTGACTATGGCCTAGTTAAGGGCACAGCATCCCCACTCACTCCTGTATGCTGTTATCAGTGTTCACAGTTTACAAATTGGTTGAAGCGCCTTGATTTGCTGGATGTGCAGTGTGCATTTCCTTCTTTAGTGTCCCTCTCTGGCAGCCAGAGCAGGATTGTCTAGATAGCTCCTCAAGCCAGGGCCTCAGTTCCCAGGGGACTCAAAGATGACAGTGGCTCCTATTCCAGTCCTGATGCTCATGGACACCCCTCCATACGCCTTGGGGAAGAGAAACTGCACAGGCCCAACCACCACTCTGCTGACCAGGCTGCTCTGCATGGGCCCAGATCCTCCTGGGCACAGAGGATATAAAACCAGCAGACCAGATCAGTGGGAAAATTGTCCCCCTGAGGGTCCCCTTGGGCACACACTCAAGGTGGCAGATTCCTTCTGCAGCCAGGGTTGCTCTCCAGGCTGGCCCTCAGGGAAGATGCAGATTACATTCCTAAAGTTCAGAGTGCCCATGTGTGGGTGTTCACTTCCCCAATCCCGAACTGCCCAGATGCCAGGCTTGGGCATCCTCCGTGACACCTGACACACCATAAGGTGTACACTTATCTTTTCCTATGACTCTTGATCTGGCTGAGTAGCGTAAACCATTGTGTCCTGTGCAGCTCAGGGCCACTGCAATACCCCAAAGGGCTCAACTTCTCAGAGTAGATACCCAGCTTCTCCATGGAGTAGGTGGCCAGGAAGAAGCCAGAGAACCAGTTGGAGCTTCTGTGCAGCCTCTTGCTCCACTTGCTTGGTTGCTTCTTCTGGACTTCCAAGGCCCAGGAAAGGGGAAGGACAAAGCTGATTTGCAAAGACCTCATGATGTCAAAGATGTCCATGTCATTAACTGTCAGTTCTGCAAGCATATTATGGACCTGAGCTGACAGTGGCCCCTGGACAAGACTCTGGGTCTCCCTTGCCCCCAACCCATGCGAAAGCCTATAGGTGCCCAATGTGTCTGTCTCCTGTGGAAGGGTAACTGTTCCAGCTATCGGGTCATGAAGGCCTTGGGATTGGGGTGCTGGCCTGCCCCACCTTCACTTTGTGACACCCACAGGGCCACCCCTAGTGCTTCTCCAAATCCCATATGCAAGGCAGGAGGGGGATCCAGGTCTAAAAAATGATCTTACCTGCCTTTTGCAAAGCTACAGGGATGGAATAGACAGGACCAATGCCCATGATGTCAGGTGGGACTCTCAACTGCACAGGATCTCAGGACCATGATGATGGGGAGGCCCAACTCTTCTGCCTTGGACCTCCGGGCCAGCAGGATGGCTGCTGCCCATCTGTCACCTGGCTAGAGTTTTCTAGGGCTGAATCTTTTTTTAAAAATTCTTTTATTGGTACATTGTAGGTATACAACACAATTACATTTCTCATGGGGAATTGTACCTTTACATGATGCATCTTGGTTCTTATTTTTTCCCCATTCCTAGCCCTCCCTTCACCCCCTCCACCCTTCCCCATTTACAAAGACTTTATTTCCATTTTTTCCATTTCTCATCATTTTTCCTTTCCCTTCTTTCCTTTCCTCTGCCCCTCCCACTACCCCTACCCCTTTGGACCTTTTCTTCCTATTTTGCGTTATTGATTATTCATTCTAATCATTGGTACATTTTAGGTATACAATATAATGACATTCATCATTGGACATTTGCACCTTTACGTAGTCTCTCTTGGTTCTTAGTTTTCACCCTTGCCCAGCCCTCCCTTCAACCCCTCCATTCCTCCCTATTTACAAAGATTTTGTTCCTATTTTTTCATTTTCTCATATTAATCCCATTCCCTTCTATCCTTTCCCCTACCCCTCCCACTGCCCTCCCCTTTGCCCCTTTTCTTCCTATTTTACATTACCTATTATACATTTAGTCCTTATTTACACTTTCAGTTTCTCACACCAGAGAAACTATTCGGTATTTACACATGTGTGTCCTATTTATTTCACTTAAGAGTATCACCTCAATGTGCATCCACTTAGCTATAACTGTCTCTAATTTCTCATTTTTTATGGCTGAGTAGTACTCCATTTTATTAAAAAACCACATTTTCTTGATCCAGTCTCCAGTTGATGGGCATTTGGGCTGTTTCCAAGTTTTAGCTATTACAAATTGTGCTGCTATGAACATGGGTGCACATAAATCACTGTGGTATGATTCTTTTAATTCTTTGGGGAAGATCCCCAGCAATGGAATAGCGGGGTCAAATGGGACTTCCAGTCCTAGTTCTTTGAGGTATCTCCATACTGATTTCCACAGTGGTTGCACCAGTCTACACTCCCACCAGCGGTGGTGCAGGGTTCCTCTTTCCCCACATAGGGCTGAATATTTGACATGAGGAGGAATCAGGGTGGGGTACCCCAGTCCTCCCACAGCTACCTTGCTGAAGGGCCAGGTCAGCTCTAAGCTACCAGAGCAGAATGGCCAGCCTGAATGGATCCCAGCCCCAGCCCGACTGGATCCCAGCCCCAGCCCAAACTCACCAGCTGTGGTGGGGCTTCTGTCCTTGAAGGCAGGCTTCAGCTTGGCCTGGCCCTTTCCTGGGACACAGCGATGCTCTTCTTAGTGCCCTTGTCATCGAGGATGGTGGTCGTCTGAGGCACAACCTCACTGTGGAAACAGTCCCTGCTCAGAGTCGTTGCTGCCCGGTCAGCCCCATGGATGGGCAGGCTCAGACTTCCTTGGGATAACCCTCCTGCCTGTTCACACTCTTTTGTTTATTTGGACAGACACAACCTCAGACCTCAAAATTTGGAGACATCACCCTGTGGAAGCTCTGAGGGACTACTAGGGTTCCTCATAACTCCAACCATTTCCTGGGAGGCAGAGGCCTTTCCTTCCTTCTAGGGCTGCTTTACCATCAGTTCCAGATTGACACTCTGGGCCCAATAGCATGCTTAAAGCATACAGGGAAATTTGGAATTGGTGCCTCCCCCTTAGATTCCTTCACCCTGAAGGGACTAAGGATGCTTGGTTATTTATAGTGAGGCTGGAGCCTCAGAAATATTTGTGCTGGGTTCTGTTAGCTTTCCTGTTTGACACCATCACCCAAATCTCTCCTTTCCTCCAGTTTCCCTAAATTTAACCTAACAGATAACTACCCCTGGGATACATTTCCCTACTTAAACAGTCTTGAAGTAGAAGTTTTGTGAGGCTTTGACATGTGATCAGATTCAAAATGTAACTACTCACGGACTGCCAAGGGCTCAGGTCAGTCCTCTTCTCATTCTTCTCCCCAGGGTGGAGTCCTAGACCCTGGATGAGAGAGGAGGCCTGGAAATATTATTTCATGCTTGCTGGTACAGAAGGTTAGATCACTGAAGGGCCCTCCTAGCCAGCTTCTATATGGCTTTCGAGGGTACCCCTGGAGATGCAGTTTGTGGGGCAAGGCTAGGTATTGCCATCTACCAGCCTCAATCTTCTTAGATATCCTTTGAAGCCAGAACAGCATGCCAGGGGAGGGGGGGCGCTGGCTACAGAACAAGGTGCTGGACAAATGCAACATACAGTAGTTCCTTATCTGACAGGGTCCAAGGTGCCTCACCTGCAAGTATAGGAATCAGAAGCTCTCCCTGTTTTCTCAACTCTTTATCCCACTCTGCTGGTAACATTGATCTAGCTTTGATACCTTAGAGGGGGAATGTGAGGGTGGGCTGTGTTTGAAATGCAGAGGCTCAGAGAGGCCTGAAAATATTGGAAAGGGAAGTCAAGGGCAGCATCAAGTGTCATGGCCAGGTTCCCTGCAGAGCAGTTGGCATCCAAATGTAGAAGGCCAAGATTTGGCACTGCCAGTCCCAGAGATGCAAATGTTGCTTGTCCCTCCTCCAGGACAGGCAGAGAGCTGAGAGGCACAGGCATATGGAGCTATAGATGGGCACTCATCCTATAGGGATCAGACAATCTCTGGGTTCTCATTCTTCAGCAAGCATGAAATAATATTTCCAGGCCTCCTCTCTCATCCAAGGTCTAGGACTCCACCCTGGGGAGGAGAATGAGAAGAGGATGGACCTGAGCCTTTGGAACCTTCAGGGATGACTGGACTATGGCAAGAGCTGGAAAATAAGCAGGGAGCACTTGGGTGTCTCTGGGATTTTGAGAGGCACTGGACGATTTGTGGGCAGCAGTGTAGAGCTAGGGTTGCAGGGGGGCAGAGCTCTGTCCACCTCCACCAGGACAGAGCACTGCACTGTCCACACTCCCAGGCCCGGGGTCACACTTCCCAACAAAACTGCTGAACCAGCTAATTGTCAGTTCTGCAGGATACACAATGTTCCTGGGGCTTGCTTTCAGGCCCTCATTTGTGGAGATGGAAGAGAAAAAGACTTTAGAGTGAACACAGAGCTCAAATCCAAAACTTACCTGACCTGCATAGACCTGACAGAGTGAGAGGAAGGAGAAGTAGCCAGTGCAGAGGGTCAAAAAAGGCTGGAGGGACAGGACACAAGACCTCAGGAATATCAGACCAACCTGACTGAGTGCTTTCCTCACCCCAGCAACAGTATGAACTCTGTTTCAGGCATGGGAGTGCTAAACACAATGACAGACACTTCATTTACAGCAGCATCCAGACTTAACAAAGTCCCACAGGGAAACACATGTGCTATATTTTCCCAATGTTGTTGGCCACATATTCCACCCTGATAGATTTCCATGAACTAATTCCATGAGCTCCCCTCCCTCAGTAGTGCTGAAATGTGATTCATTCCTCAGCAGCCAGAGTTGGGGCCACTCCTAGTCTGCATTTGAGGGAACCCGCTCCTAGCCAGATGCCTAGAGAGCTAAAAGGAGAATCTTAAAATTATAGCCCCAGTGAACTTAGGAGAGGAACCAATCACAGGTGGCTGATAAACTCTAGCAAACAATTTCTTACCCACAGGCCATGCCAATGTCACAAACTCCATTTCTGATGCCACCTGAATCAAAAGATTTTACAACCATTCTTGGTCAGAGTTTGTGTGTCGTGGGAGCAGCAAAGCTGCTTTCCCACCTGCTTTCCAGGCTCACTTATCCCAGGCTCAGAAATGAAAATGCAGGCTGCCCCAAAAGAGATAGGTGCAGTGACAAGGGCTTTCTTACATTGCTTCGGTGCTGAGTCCCGGCAGAAATGCTTACTGCTGCCCCACAGAAGTCATGTTGCTGAGACAAATCTGTGGAGGATGTAGAAAGGCCAGGCTACTGTGGCCCTGGGAGCCACCCAGTCATAACTTATCAGCTGTGTAGGCCACTGCCTGCAGCTCTGACAAGCACTGCTTATTGAAAGTGGACAAAAACAGTCTCTGGGATGCCACTGTGACAGAGTGTGAAATGGCACAACTTTTGCCCTGCCAGGCTCTGTTGGAAATGCCTGTGCTCCTGGACTGCATGACTGCACCCATCATGAGGTGCACAGCCCAAGGACTGACCCCACCCCAGGCCTGATCCAAGGGACCAGAGGGTTACAGCTACTGGTCAGTCCCTCTTTGTTTGGGCACTTGGTGCTCCTGAAAGCCCCACAAGCGCATACTGTTCCATCCTGTGATTCTCCTGAAGCTAAGGCCTGTCTGGGCCACAGGGATCCTTCCTTCTCTCTCACTGGAGATTCAACAATGAAAAGCAAACATCTGCTTTTCCCAAAGGACAGAGATATGGGCCTGTTCTGTGACAGGCCTCCAGAGCCAAAGCCATCTGTCAAGTGTGAGGCCCACAGACCTCTCCACCTCCAGCTCTGCTAGTTACCCCATGGCTGGCATTCATGTTCTGACCTGGATGAAGATCTCTGAGGGGCACCAGTTTCTAATACCCCTTACTCTGTGGCTCCTCAAGCTGTTACACTGGGCCCAGGCCTGGAACCCAGTATGGTTCCCCTTCAAATCAGGTTGCTTGCCTTGGTCAATAGTACTATGCCCACAGCCTCTTCAACTCTAGGAATGAATATGCTCTGGTGGGTCTCATGTGCAACAAGCTTTGTAAACCCTGAGCTTAGGTTGATGCAGGCTCTGCAGGTAGATGGATTCCTAGGTCTGTTGAACTCCTCCTGTGTTCCCTAACTCCATAACAGCTAGTTATTACTGCTTTATCCAATCCAACAAGATTTCACCAAATACCTACTGTTATGGTGTGGATCTGAAATGTCCCTCCAAAGTCTCATGTTTGGAAAGTGAGTGGATCTTGGTGCACCATACTCATCAGTGGATTGGCTCACCAGTGAGTCAATAGGTGACATGCTGGTAGGAGGTGGGGTTGGATTGGAGGAGGTGGATCACTGGTGGTGTGACCTGGTAGGGTGTATTACCCTCCCTAGCTTCACTTTTCTCTCTACTTCCTGGCTGCCATGATGTGAGTAGCTCTACTTCATGGCAGGCCTTTTCACCAAGCCGTATTCTGCAGTTGAGCCTGCCAACCATGGATTGAAACTTCTAAAACATGAACCAAAATAAACCTCTCCTCCTTTAAGTTATGGGTGTTATGTA